AGCTTACGGGGACATACAACAACAGCCTTTACTATATTGGGTCGTTGAACCTTGTTGCCGTCCTTGTGTTAGCCCTAGTCATAACATACACAAAAAGCTATGACGTCAGACGCGGAGTGCTGCCGCCAAAGAGAGAATGGACCAATGATTATAATGTTTCCTACGCTTAATCAGCTAAACTTCTAACCCGTAAGTCTCGAGTTCAAGTCAGTAGACCGTCCTTGAGTCCACCCAACTCTGATGGGTACCTAACTCACGTTAGGGAGAGTAAAGGCGGCTGGGCATAGTGCTGACCACACTATCTCTTCATATGCCGCGGTCACAGAAACAAGTGATCTCTGATCCACTTGCCCTATAGACCGTCTGGTTTGAAAAGAGAATTTTACTTTATACTTTAAACTTAATCGGATTATTTTATGCTTTTTTAATGTCAATAAATAGTTGTGATAAGTATTTTATTATTGTAAATATGTACACATATATTTTTTTATATCGATACTCGAAAATTTTATTTGATAAAAATAAAATTATTATTATTTATGTTCCCCTAAATCGTATGATTTGTGTTTGCCTTAAATGTCTTAACTCGTTACTATAATAAATCTACATTTAACAAAGGAAAAAAAAGAAACATTACCCACGCATATGCATGTGGTTGTGCACATACACACACGCATACATGCGCACTCAAACTTACCTTACTTTTATAGTTTACAAGCCTTAAGCTTTTGCAATAGTACCCATGCATATCCATGTCATTGTGCACATACACATACACACACACATACACGCACATACCCCTTCTATACTTACCTATGTCAATGGACTAGCTACCCCCGTTATAATTTATCACGAGCCGGTCCCATACATTCACCCCCCCCCCCCGTACCCTCCCCCACACATGTGAAATATGGCGTGCTAAAACCTGCTGGTGGAGAATTACGGCTCTGATCCCGGCTCCTACGGCTCCTAGACCCTGTTGTCAGTCATAAATTATCGCGGCAATTACTCTTTAAGCAGGGACTGACAACTCCTGTGTTTGTTACAGGGGGGGGGGGGTAGCGATTACATTGACACGAGGGTGGGGAGGGGTGAGCTGAGGCATACCTGGCCAGGTACAAGCCGGTATTTTAGGGTGATTTACGGGGAATTATTCACGCTTTTCAGACAAGGTAATTTCAGCAATGGCATTTTGAGTCGTGGGACTTAAGCGGGTGTTGACGGTTCAGATTGTACATACGTTTGAATAGGTTTTTTTGTGTGTTATAAAGTTGGTGGGAGGGTTGGGGTGGGGAATGGTGCGTGGGGAAGTAAAGGATGTTATCACCGCCCCCCATCCCGTTTCCACCTCCATCCCCCTCCCCCAAGTAAATATGTACATCTATCATTAGGCAGTCATTAGCTATCTAGTCGATCTCCTTACCAAAACCGGAAGTCAGAACCTGACCCTGAAACGTCATGCTCTTTTAGTTTTCGCATTTTAAGTCTTTTTGGGGGGGTCCTATATACAAAAATGAAAAAACTGCTAATCTAGCAATATCTCATCACTATTTTAATGCGAAATGCTAAGGAAATGGATACTATGGCTTAAATGCCAGAAACATTTGCGAGATATGTAGTAATAATTAATACAAGCATTTCTTATGGAGCACTCTAATTAGGAACTGAACTGCAACGAAAAACGACCGACCACCGGGCATCAGCGCTCGACAGCTCCTAGATAAATATATATTTGAGATATTTACCATGATTAATTACATTGATGATGGTTCCCCTTTCCAAAATCCAATTCACCATAGAAATACCATGCCTCTGCTATTTTTAGTAACGTTACGTCATTGTTACGCTAGTTGTCAGATAGAAACAACTAATTTTTGTTTTTTGCGGAATGCACTGTTAAGTCTAGTATTTTAATTATAATTCAGTTGTAGCGTGTGTAGAAATTGTGGACATTATTATTGTATTAAAGTATTAGTAATTTTATAAGTATATTGATTTTTTTTCTTCACATAATTCGTGACCGGTCGTTAACCTTGTAAATACTACATCTAAATACTTCGTGGCCTACCCGACTGCATAATTTATATGAAATTATATGTAGTTTTTAATTAGGCCTTAGTATTGTATTTTAAACAATGCTCATTCCGAGCCTTTTTTGTGCTAAATCTAATCAGGCCTACTGGCAATTTTTTATTTTATTTTTAGACTTGGTCAACCTCGTTAATGCTGTTGTGTTAGTTAAACATATAGGAATTGTGTGTAAAATTTACGCAGTTACTCAGTTACTACGTAGTACGATATCAATAAATAAAGTAGTATTTATTTCCTTTTAGCAATCTATTGATACAAAATGTCTAATATTTTATTTTACAATACATCGTGGTGTGTGGCAGAGTAAACAGAACGGTGCGGTAGGTGACCTAGAATCTCCGAGTTCGAATCTGAAGTAAATCAGTTGTGCTTTATTTTATTGTTTCACATTGGAAATGCAACGAGCGGCTTTATTTTCTTTCTTTTTTAAAAATATTTTTTTGATCGAAATAATATTTTATAAAATAATTATTCAAGATTTTCCGAACATCGTCGCTCGCATCGCTCGCGAGATCGACTGCTTACATTTTCTTGTCTGCGGGAGAAAAATGTTGACACGGTCGAGGGTTCACCGTGAGTTCAGCAGGCCTACCATACATACGTCACAGCATTAACGATTGCTGTTAGAGATCGTCGGTGGGCAATCCCACCCCTCCCCTCATAAACCAAGCAAATTGTAAAACAACTTAGGGTCATTTTAAGTTCATGCAAACTTACAGGACTATAGATTTACTACGCATAGCTGTTAAAAAAAAAAAAAAAAAAAAAAAAAAAAAACTTCGCCTAACCTAATGCTACTACAGAAGAGAAAAATAATTATAGAGTATTTATTTTAAAGTTTTAAAAAAAGTTGATTTATCATCGTACCTAATACTGTATTGTCTTTACAGTTAGAATGCCTAGATCTAGATTTCTGTCAGATCTATTTTTAGTTTTGGATATTAATTTTATTATCATCTTCATGGGTATTGATTGTTCAATTCATCGTGGAAGGCCTAATGTCTTAAATTGTACATTATTCATAGAATTTAAAATAAATATGTCTGATATTTCTTTAATAAACATAATGAATATAAAGTTTTATTTCCAACAAAATATTTTGGTTTTTTTTTTGGTAACTAAAATACCCAATGTTGTCGTAATTGCTATGACATCATGCTACGAATGGAAAACACAAACCAACGTAACTTTCTGAGCTTTTTTGATGGCGAAAAAGAGTTTCGCATTTTAAGAAGTTAATTGGTCATTTTGTTTTTGTTTGTTTTCTTGGCCCCTAATTAAGCTAGACCATTAAATTTGGTCTCAAATTAACCAGTAAGTGATATAGTTTGTAATGATATATCATAAGTGACAGACAATTTTAATTAAAAAATTTAATAAGAAAACCTACCTGGCAAGCTATTTTTGTTTGTTCTTCTCTTTCTCTCTACACCACACACTCTTACATTAGTTAGTTGCACGCAATTTTTCAATTGATAAAAATGACAAAAATAACGACAGGGTTGTATTAATGGGACTAAATGTTGCAAAATGATACCAAATTTATGTTTATAGGATAAACGGTTCTCTAGATAAGACGGTTTTAGTGTAAAAATTGCGGGGACAACTAAGCCTATGGAGAATGAAACTAAAAGTTGGTCACGTCGAGAGTACGAAAAAAGCGAATGGGAAAATCTTCTAATAAAAGGCATAATTATAATTTCTCAAAATTATTACATTATCGCAGTTTAACTTTGCGCGCGTCTAGTCTAGAGCGAAGAGAGTACGTAAGACTAAAGAGACTAAATTGTAATAAAATGTTTTTAAACAATCTTGTTTATTAGCTTTAAATATATTTACGCTTAAGGAAATACCAATGATAGATAAAAATGTCGATGAAAGCTTAATAATTAAAAAAAAAAAGCCTAAAATAAAATAGGTTTACCGTTTAACAGTAAATGTAAAATTTACAGTAAATAGCTACTAACTAGACTCTACCCTAGAACTAGACTCAATCCCCATCATATGTCTAAAAAGTCTAAACTCTAAAGTTTAACTAGATCTAGATCTAGATTTAAATGAAATTCCCGATTATTGATTTTTTACGGAGACCTGCATGGTGCATTAAAATTAAATTAATTTAAAACAACAAAGATCTAGAATCTAGCTCTACTCCAGAATTCAACCCTGATTATTCATGATCTACGATGAGCCATGGCCTTACGCGAAATCTATTACGGGTTGGTGGAATGCAACGAGCATCGATGTTTTAAGGGCGTGATCTAGATCTAGATTCTAGATCTATTGAGAGACATTTTAAAAAAATATGCTTCCTGACAAAACTTGATTAATTAAAAGTAGGCCTAAACAAGTAAACATGGATATGGTTTAAATCATGGCACAATAAAGAGTAGTTTAAAAATGTTAAGAAACAGAGCAAGTTACAGTATTTATTATAACATACATGGAAACTTATGCCCATGGAAACTTATGCCTACATTAAAAAATAGAATAAAACAAATTCATAAACAGAGTGTGTCTGTTTATTTTATTAATTATAGATCTATAGGAAAGTCTCAAAGTTTACAAGCTTTTAATTTTAAGAGTCATGTGTGAATAGAAGCAACAATCTGGCTAGTTTTGTGTACAGTGTAGTAGGATGTGTAGTCTCAAAGTCAAATGAATAATCTAAAGGCTGATTATTTATGAATAAATTAATACATGCATCTGATTTGCAGGAATAATCAGATATCATAACTACATATTGACAAACATGAACTTAGAATTTTATTTTGTTGAACAATGAGCAGTCACATAAATTTATTTTATATACATTCTTGTGTTTCATAAAGAGACTAACTTTGTGCATTGCAATGGATATAGCTTTTATTTATACATTGTACAATATAACTTCTAAAAGAACTTGTACATTAAAACTCAAACATCAGATGCTTACTGATCATATCAGTTATTAAAGTATCTACATTGAGTTCTGAGTCTTCACTATTTTCCTCATCAATTGACCAATAAGCAATTACAAATCTATCAAGTTTTGTCTCACTAGCTGAGAGTCTTAAGACTATTCTACCAAAATAAAAGGTGTCATTGTCATTTATACATTCCCACTTGTGTTTCAGCAGTTGGCCAGTCATATCCTCTCCATTGATAATTTTAGCTAACACTTGTTTTTGTCTGGTCTCCACATTGCAGAATATTTCATCATTTATAAATAACTGACCTTTAGCCAACTTATCAACAACATCTATCTTTAACTTCTTTCTTTCTTTATTTTCTTTCTTTTTAATTGATTCTTCTCTTCTCTGTATGATTTCATTTTCAATTTCTCGCTGTTGGGTTTTGTGTGATCTTCGCCTGCGAGCACCTTCAGTTATAGCAAAATCAATTAGCTGATTTTGTTCATTGATACTTTTTGCATCAAGCCACTCCATTGTTTTATTTAATTTAGCTTTAACCTTGCAATCTACAAAACCTATAGTGGCATTTGGCGCTCGACGAATTAAAAAATCAGCCATTCCTAGTATTCTCTCACAGTGTATATTGTGTGGGGGGGCAGACTTGGTGGCCTCAAGCATTTCATCAGATGGATCTGATAAATAACTGCCCATCTGCCTTTTTATAACAACAACAGTTTCTTGCAACAAACAAGACAAAATATTTTCTAGTTTAACACTGTCATGTGCCCTATTTAAAAGTGCTGCATGGACATCATCATGTTTGAGGGAGACTTCCTCAAATATTGTTGTGTGGCTTTTAATCAGCACTGGACTAGCAATCAATTTCTCCAACATGCTAACAGCATATTGAAAATTTTGGCTCTGTAAAAAAATAAAATAAAGTAGTAACTAACATTGTAGTCATTGAAAGAATGAAAATCTATTTATCAATTTTTCAAACGAAGCACCTACTATTTGAAGATTTGTCCTGCCCATTGCATTTTTGTACAGAAGGGTCATCCAAGGCCCAGTGATAACTTTTCCTACTAACCCAAGAGCTTGTAACTGAAGTAATACATCTTCTTTACATAAATCTTTGTATAGATTTTTACAAATGTTATTGTGGTCATTTCTGTGAACATGAATTTATTATAGAATAAAAATGTGGTGTCAACATAAAAAAAAAAATAAGTAAACACAAGCTAATTAATCATACAATTGTTTAAATAGAAATATTGGAGAATACCTCTTACAGAACTTCTTTAATATTTCTTCATATTTTATAATTACTCCTGCCATGTGAAATAGCACATGGTGCCTATTTCCCACATATCTAACAAAGCTGCTAGGTGTTACATTATTGTCTTTTAAAAACAATTTAAATGCAGCTGGTTCACCTTTTGAGCTGTACCTGGGGAAAAAATGTTCTTGTAAATAATGTTGTTCTAAAAAAATTGATAAAAAGTATGATAGTCAGTAAGATATTAGTAATCAACATATTTATTAATGTCTTTATTATTGGAAAAGTTTTCTTACCTTAGTTTTGATATGTTATATACTATTGAGACAGCAGCACAGTCTTTTCCACATGCTGATGTTGTGCCAATGGTTTTGTCCAGTTTTAAAAGATATTTCCTACATTGTGAAGCTATAGTGTCCAAGGGATGTATATTGCAATTTAATTTAATCAGCTGGACATTTAAATAATTTTCTAACATTTGTCGGACACAGTTATTTACCGGGGCTCTATCTGACAAACAACTTCTCATTTTCTTTTGACAATTGTCCATGAAATCAATATATGGGATCTTTTTAAATTCAGAAAATAGGGAACCTATTTCTCTCAAAGCAGATAAAATGTTTGTAGAATAATCATAAGCTCTTCCCCCTGCCACTCTTTGTGAAGATATAGTGTAATCCTTTCTAGGTGGATAGGTTGAAATACTAAATGCATTTATATGTTTCTCCCCTGTAGTAGTGGCATCAAACGATATTGTCATTGTGCCGCAATTCATTATGGCTTCACCAACTTGTATTAATGATAGAACCGCTGGCTCATAAATCATTCTTGATATATTTGAATAATGTGGAAATCTATCTAAATTTTTGTTGCATACTGTGCTAGAAAATGATTGTAAAATTTCACCTACTCCTCTAACTGGGCAATGACTTAAAAGTGATCTATAAATGCATTTTCTAAGTTTTGGACAATACCTATTGCCAGTTTTTGTTTCTATGTTTTCTTCTTTGTTCTCTAACTCTAAGTATAGATCAATTAAATTGTGATGATCTGCCAGAAGTTTACTTAGTTGCTGTTTCAGAGAACTAACTTCTTTTTTAAAACTTTCAATGACTTCTTTCTTATTGTCAATCACCATTTTGTGATTCAACAATGAGTGTTTCATTTTGCTTCTTAGTTTTGTGTTTTTTATTTTTAATATCATAATTTCTTTCTTTAAATCTCTTGTTGCTTTTGTTTGTTCAATAAATCTGCATTTTCTTTTTTCTTCTATACACTTGATTTTCAAAGTTGTAATCAATTTTTCTTTTTGCTTTACAGATCTTTTCAAATGTCTAATTTGAACAGTGTTTGTGTCTCTGATTTCTTTCCTTAAGGTTTTTATGGTTTCTAAATTTTTTCTCAATATTATGTTTTTTTCACAACACTGTGAGCACTTCTTTCTGCATAAAGGTTTGGTAGCTACCCCCAAATCAAATACTTGTGTATCTGTTGTAGTTTCATCCATTGTCATTGTCTCTTCACTCAAAGCAGTCAGCTGTTGTGTAGGATTTTGGTTATTTTCATTTCTCACAGATAGTGGTGTTGCCTGTGTGTTTATTCCTACATACGGTTCTTTGAAATAACTAACCAACTGATGCCAATTTCTTTCAGGGTTTGATTTTAAGAGCATGAATTTTTTAATGATTCTGTTTACAGAGTTTCTGTTAGCAAAATAGATTTTTGTTGTTTTTATATGTCTGTTTCTATCTAATAGCTCATCAAGTACCTTGGAGATATTTTTATTTTTTATATAGTACAAATAAACAACATTGCCTATTCGCACTTCACCACTTACATCAGAATAGCTTTGATAGAGATTTACTACATTCAAGGCATTCTTCTTCTCCATTCTGTCTTGCCTATAAATAATTAAATCATAAGTAGTTAATTATAGTTATATTATTTAATTTTTGACAATGGATAGCAAAAAAAAAATTAATAGTTATACTTATAATATATTTTATTATTAAAAAAAAAATACACGGACCTTTTGAAGAAGGGCATCGATACCACTAATTAAAAGTGACTGGTTTTTGTTTTTGTAACGTCCGAAAAAAATATGTTACTACTAATATATCAAGTTTTAGGCTTAATAAAGTTAATTAAACTTTGATAATATTAAACATATTAATATATTTACTAGAGTTATTAGTTAAACAATAGCTAGTGTGTTTGTGAGAGCTTAAAAAAAACAACTGAGTAATAATAAGCTAGATCTAGTAAGTCGAAAAAACTATATATGCCTATTTTAAAATAAATAGTATAGTTAATAGGCCTACTTAATAGGTTGACAGACATTGAAATATGGTGTTTTATTAACAAGAACCTTACAATTTAAACAATAATTGAATCACTAATTTTAATTTTATCAATATTAATCATGAATAAAGCCTTTAGGGCTAATTAATTAACTAGTAAGTTCGGGGCTTAAATACTAGATTTAATGCTGAACGGAGATGCATGTTAAGCGGTATCGATATTACTAGTATTGGTCTACTTTGTGAGACCATTTTCAATATTTTCTACATTATTAATAATTAACAAAAAGAAGTCTACTAGGGCATTTAATTAAATAGATAAATATATTACACTCAATCCATGTTTAGTTCAAGTGTGTATCTTTTTACAGAATTTTTATTTTAATAGCTCGATTCCCAGTTCGATCATGATTACAGCGAATTAGTTACAACTAGAGCGGGCCTTCAAAACAATTCATATTTGTATAAATGTGTTTTGTATTAACATTTAACACAAGATAATTACGTTATCAACATTTAAACTCCAATTTTTGTAAGTATTCTTTTTTTTTAAGCGTCAATGTCATAAAATTTATTATATTTTACAATCAATCAATCGGCGCGGAAAGGGGTTAAAAAAGTATCGATACCGTTTAAATAGTGTCACTCGGAGGATTGCTTTGTGAGACGAAGTTCGTCGTCTGCTAAAGCGTAAAATATTACAAAAAAATAGACTTAAGCAGAAAAATGAATTATTAAAATAATCCTAACAAATACAGAGCTAGTCCGAGTGTTAAAATATTTTATTACAATTTTTGAAAACTTACCTTTTTTAGTGGCTTTTGTTTTGACATATAGAAAAGTGGTCTTGAACAAAAAATTAATCTGCCGTAAGCGGCCGCATCAAGTCGTTCCGACTAAAGTTAAAACGGGTTACGGAATCACGTGATATCTATTTTAAAGCCGTTTGATGCGCTATGTGTAGACGGCTGTAGACGTAATTATTTTCTTTGTAAACGAAAGGTTTTGAGACTGTGACGTCATATTTTCTTGGTTTGTGCAACTAACTACTCTTACATACTCTCAGATTCTCCCAAGCACATTCTCTTACATTCTCTTTCTCTCAATAGTCCCTCTATAGTACCTCTCTAGTCCCTCTCTAGTCCTTACGTGAGCAATTATTGACATCGCCGTAACCACGTACAAGGCAGAGACCTAATGCAATTATAAAGCTCATTTCATGTTATATATATATATATATATATATATCTATAATATAAGCGGGCTGTGTCTGTCCTTCCTTCCTTCCGTCCGTCCGTCATCGCTATAGATTTTGGGACTATAAAAGTAAACTACGCACCATGCTGTGCTTTTCAGTGCACCGCAGTGTCTTACTATAGGTAATAGAGTAGGGTTTGTTTATATAGCGGCATAGAGCTATTTTATAAATGCCACTGTGTTTACTCTTTTGCATAACTTAAATAAAATATTAAATACACGCACATGGCTAAAACATATTTAAAAAATCAATGTTAAATATCATTTTCGTTTATATTCCTAGAAAAAATGGATATATTTTTATGAAAGTAGGTCAAAGAAACTAATTAATTCAACTTTTTTTTGGTAATTTTTTGCAAGGGAGGTAATTTGAAAACATATTTAACTCATCAATACTATTCTAAGTTAATTTTTTTTATTACTACCGCATTGATTATTATATGTTAAGGTTCATAATTAAAAGAGAAAAATGTTAAGATTATTAATATTATTTATTATCATTTTCTAATTAGTCTATGATTTCTCAAAAAATCACTATCTTTTTGCTTTTGTTTTTCGGTGTTATGAAAACAGATGGTGAAATTAGACTTTTTGAGAAGAATGGAAAGGCTCTCTCTGAGCGCGGACGTATGGGAAAATGTGTTTTATTTTTTAATATTCAACTCACTCTCAATAATTTAAGTTAATTTTTGTTATTACTTCCACATTGATTATTATATGTTAAGGTTCATAAGTAAAATAGAAAAATGTTAAGGTTATTTATATTATTTTCTAATTAGTCTATGATCTCTCAAAATCACTATTTTTTGTTTTTGTTTTTCGGTGTTAACAGATGGTGAAATTTTAGGATTATAGTATAGGCTCTTTCTGGGCGCGGACGCCTGGGAAAAGCGTGTTTTTCGGTGGTGATTCTAATTACATTACCAATGTGTTTTCTTAGAACCATAAAAGTAAACGCCTCTTGCCGTACATTTATTTGCATCGCATTGTTTTATTGTAAGTTATGGAGTAGGATCTATTTATGTGACTTAAATAAAGGCTCTCTTTGGGCGCGGACGCCTAAAAAAGCGTGTTGTTTGGTGGTGATTCTAATGTTGTGGCTGTGGTTGTGTTGTGGTTGTGTTGTGGTTGTGTTGTGGTTGTGTTGTGGTTGTGTTGAGGTTGTGTTGTGGTTGCGTTGTGGTTGTGTTGTGGTTGCGTTGAGGTTGTGTTGTGGTTGTGTTGAGGTTGTGTTGTGGTTGTGATGTGGTTGTGTTGTGGTTGTGTTGTGTTTGTGTTGTGGTTGTGTTGTGTTTTGTTTGTATTGTGGTTGTGTTGTGGTTGCGTTGTGGTTGTGTTGTTGTGTTGTGTTGTGGTTGTGTTGTGGTTGTGTTGTGGTTGTGTTGTATTTTGTTTGTATTGTGGTTGTGTTGTGGTTGCGTTGTGGTTGTGTTGTTGTGTTGTGGTTGTGTTTTGTTTGTGTTTATGTTTGTAATGTGTTTTTGTTCGTTTTGTTCTGTTCCAAAAATGTACATTTAAAAAGATTTACCGTGGCGGAGCACGGGATGCAGCTAGTATATATATATATATATATATATATATATATATATATATATATATATATATATATATATATATATATATATATATATATATACATATATATATATATATATACATATATATATATATATATATACATATATATATATATATATACATATATATATATATATATATATATACATATATATATATATATATATATATATATATATATATATATATATATATATATATATATATATATATATACAAATATATATCAACAGGCCGTTTCCTCGATCAAAGTAGAATAGTTTATGTACCCCAGCCATCAGGGAAGGTACGGCTAATCCCCTAAACGACACGAACTGAAGCATTCAACTACTTAATCAAACTTTTCATTTTCAAGATAACCTTTCATCTGACATGTCCATTGGCTGAGGTTCAAGTGATCTATCTTTATCTAAAGTTTATCTAAACAACCGACACTTTGCTCCGCGGTTGTTGTTTTTTTTTTATCTCTTTGAAGTCGTTTTGTCAAAGCACTAGGGCCAGTATACCATTGTTATCATCTAATTTGATGTATATTGTTATCATCTAATTTGATGTATATAGTTATCATCTAATTTTATGTATATTGTTATCATCTAACTTGATGTATATAGCTATCATCTAATTTGATGTATATTGTTATCATCTAATTTGATGTATATTGTTATCATTTAATTTGATGTATATTGTTATCATTTAATTTGATGTATATTGTTATCATCTAATTTGATGTATATTGTTATCATCTAATTTGATGTATATTGTTATCATCTAATTTTATGTATATAGATATCATCTAATTTTATGTATATTGTTATCATCTAACTTGATGTATATAGCTATCATCTAATTTGATGTATATTGTTATCATCTAATTTGATGTATATTGTTATCATCTAATATGATGTATATATCTATCATCTAATTTGATGTATATAGCTATCATCTAATTTGATGTATATAGCTATCATCTAATTTGATGTATATAGCTATCATCTAATTTGATGTATATTGTTATCTTCCATTGTTATATATTGTTATCTTGTATACAATTTGAGGTACATTATTATCATTTCAATAAATCTATTTATTATTGTTATCATGTAAAATAATGTACTTTGTTATATCCTGTACTATTTGAGGCTAAACTTTTGTGATTTATATAAGGTAATGTAAATTTTTATTAACTGTGTAACTTGATGAATATTGTTATCATTTGTGTATATTGATAAATATTGTTATCCTTTATATAACATACCTATTGTCATCATTTGTATAAATCGTGGTGGTTTTTTCTTTAAAGCCCACATAAGCCCAGCAGCCATTGATTCTCCTCCCACAGTAAGGGACATCACTAAATAAAAATAAAGTTACC